CTGATATTTCTTTCCCTTTAAGACCACCCTTGGTACTCACTTTGAAACAATTCTCACCTATTTAAAAAACGTGTGTGTATACTCCATAAATAAATATACCCACTATCAACCCACAAAAACTAAAAACAAAAAGTGTCTATGTGTGTGTGAAATATACCATGAGCACCAATCACTTTAGAGATCTATGAAATCTGTCTCATCAGAATAGGAAATGGCTGTCTCCCACTTTGGGTAACAATCACTATGCTCCATTGCAATGAGAAAGGACCAAGCACAATGCTCAACTACCTTTGTTATAAAAAAGCATCATTCAGCAGCCTGGGCAACATGACGAAACCCAGTCTCTACAAAAAACTACAAATATTAGCCAGGTGTGGTGGCTCAAATCTGTAGTTCTAGCCACTTGGAGGGCTAAGGTGGGAGGATCATTTGAGCCTGGGAGGTGGAGGCTGCAGTGAGCCAAAACTGTGCTGCTGCACTCTAGCCTGGGCAACAGAGTGATACTCTGTCTCCACCAACCCCTCACCACCTGACACACATACAAAAAGGCAGCATCATTCATGGAGACCAGTTCAAACTTCAGAAACCAGAAAATATAAACATTTAAGATTGGCAAAAACATACTGTCTTTTAAAACTGGAAAGAGGGGCCCAGAATCAAGCAGAATGTGAATGTCTCATAACAGAACACTGAGGTATCAGAATTGTTTCACAAAAGACTGCAACTGGCTCTAGAGTTCTTATAGTGCCAGTGGCCTTTTTGAAAATACTGTTCAGCTATGGTACTATTTATGTATTTAAATTACAAAACATGTAAAAATAAATAAAAAATAAATTAAGTGGTTATTTTGGGAAGCACCCATAATTCATAATTCATTAACTAGACCATCTTCTAAATTATACTATGCAAAGCCATGTATGAAATGTTACACACAGAGAGACATACAAAGAATCTACGTTTTTATTTATTCACTCAACAACTAGACTTGACAGCCCACATACTATGTACTAGCTACACACAAGTAGGAAAGTCCTCGCCCTAAAAAGGTTTACAAAGTAGAGGGCAGGGAAGAAAGAGAAGAACCATAACTGCAATATAGAATAAGTACCAAAATAGATGCATAAATAGGGAACAAACACATAAGCGATAGTAATCTATTTGATAAAATCTTCCTTTATGCTAAGAATTAAGGAATATATAGACCTTTTCCAAGTAAGAAAAGCAGCAGGGGGATAAAGGCATTCTGGGAAGATAAAAACGACACATTGAAAGGCACAGAGACATAAAACACATTACCACTCAAAGCTTTTTAAACAATAAAATGGGCTAACTAAAGCATGGATTTCTAATTAGTCAAACATGAGTGAATACTGTTTAAATTTCAGTGGTTGTTTTTCTGAGGATGTGACTTTTCAAATAAGTAGGGTCATCTTTAAAGGAGACATGCTCTTCCTTATCCATACTTTTGGCTTTATGAAAAATATTCAGCACTTAAGAATATAAATCATTTTGGAGTTCCCTGACATGCCTAAAATAAATACGCAGTTATAAGACAATATTTGAAGGATAAGATGATATATTTTCCACACAAAATATTAAGTCTTAAGGACTCAAGATTTCACTATTATGATATAGAGCATCTTTTCAGTTTATAGAATTTGTATAAATGTTACATCTGACTCATAGTCTTAAAGCCAGATTATTTCTCTTTAATATACAGTTCTCAGAACAAAATATTCCTTTAATAAATAATATTATAAACAGCTGATTATCTGACATCCAAGCAATGGACACCAATGGATAAGAAGACACGGAGTTCAAGACTGGGGGATTAGCTGGATCACTGATCAAAGGAGCTGAAGGTTAAGTGGATGCTACAGTGATCAGCTGTTAGAGCCACTAAGCAGCCATAAAAGCTGGGCCCTGGAGGTGTTAACACGGAATACAAATAACCTTTCTGTTTGTGTGTATCTTGCTTTACATTTTTCAAATATAATTACATTTTGCTTTATTTCTCAAATGTTATTTTACCTCATCTAATGAAAGAAGAGAAAGACAAAGAAACAATACAAGAAAAAGAAAGCAACATACAGAAGAGAGGGAATCCAAAAAAATGGGTGAATGTGGGCATGAATATCCGAAAAAAAGGAAGAGAAAAAAGACTGGGAAACTGGGTGGCAGATACTATGACATGCACTGGGTATATGATGCTAGATGTGGTCCTAGTCCTTAAAATGTAACATAGGAGACAGAAAATACACAGTATACATAAAAATTAATACTTGATTGTAACCCGGTGTAGTTTATTATTTTAGTGGCAAAATAAAAGGAAAGAGAGTAAGTCTTGGGAATAAAATAAATGCAAGGCCCTATTTCAAAGAGCCTCCTCAGAAAGCAAATAAGCAGTGAATGTAAGCCAGAGGTTCTTAACTGTATTTATAGCTCAGAATTACAAGGAGAGCTTTAAAAATTCTGATACCTGGGCCTACCCTCAGAGATTCTGATTTAATTGCTATGGATTGAGGCTCAGGAATCTTTTCTTATTTAGCTCCCCAAGTTATTCTAAATCAAGGATATAAATAACCAAGTTATTTATATCAAGGTTGAAAACCACTGATATAAACTTACAAAATAAGAATTTCATTATTGTGAGGTTAATGAAATGGCTACAGTTAGTTTGCCCAGCCAGTTGTCTAGGAATTTCAGAGGTCTAGAGCCAATCACCAAATGCATCAAATTCTGAATTACTACAACATTTATTATAATTTCAATTTAGTGAGATACAGAGGTTTACAAATTATCACAGAAATATGAAGTAGAGAGATTTATCAGGCTAGAGACATCATATGCACTAATTGCTGCTCTCCATGAAATATTTTTGGTTACTCTCTCAGGCACGTAATAGGACTGCACTTCCCTGACCTCTTGAGGTCAGGTATGAACATGTGACTCGCTTCAGCCAAGGAAATGTAAGCAGAGTGGCCAGTGTCACCTTCAATCAAAGCTTTTTAAGGAGCCAGTGTTCAACGATAGTGCTGTGTCAGCTTGAGTCCCACAGTAATGATACCACGGAACAGAGCACCCAGATGACCCATGTAGACATATAGTATGAGTGAAAAAGAAAGCCTTCTGGTTTTAAACCATTGAGATTTGGAGGTTGTTCCTGAAACATAATCAACCTTTCCTAACTAGCACACCACAGAAGACTTCCAGGGGAAAGAGGAGGGTAAGGGATCATTTTTAAGTAGTCTAGAAAGAAAGTAGTAAATACATTAAATACACAATGGGGTTAAAGGGCTTTCCTTTACAGAGAACACCTTACAAAAAGTAATATAATGGATAAGCAGAATAGTATGGGAAACTTGAGGACTTATAGAGTATAACATGGCTAGTTTGAGATATGAGAAGTTCAGAGCAAAAGATGAATGTAGAAAGAGACAAATCATGAGGACAGAAATTCTAGACAGTAGATCAACTCGTAAAAGGGCCAAAGGAGCCATTCTGTGATACTACGCTGCAACTTTCTTTCTGCCCTAGTATAAGCTAAGTGATAAGGCCACTTTCACCAGCAACAATGACACACAACCATACAAATCATTTTAGAAAGCTCCCAGATGATCCTGATCACACCCAAAAGGGATAGGTGGCCCTCTCTTTCCCATCCCCTTTTCCCCATCCCCCTTCACTACACTTTGGCCTGAAGACCATAATTTTTATCCTAAACTGAAAATGATTGAGGTCTCATTAAGGATATTTAAACAAATAAATAAAGTAGTAAGTTCCACATTTTAAAAAGAACTATAGAATTTCTGGTGGTGGGAAGATTTACTAAGGAAGACTGGACAAAGGAGGGCACAGACAGGATTATAGAAAGGCTGAAATAAGCAGAGGCAATGACGAGAATAAACATTTGAAGCACGCTCCACAGTACAATTGGGGGAAATGGAGAAGTACAATAAGATTGCAGGTTTTGCCTTAGGCAGCAGGGTAAATATCAATACCATTAACCAAGATATGGAATACCTTCAGGCCATATCCAAAATCTCCAAAATCTAACTGCTTCTAACCATACCTGCATTACAGCAATCTAGTGATTAACTATAAATGTATTTATGTGAACATGAAATCCACTTATTGTTCATTTTAGTTTGTTTTTACTCTTACTGGAAATGATCTGAGATCTCCTCTCCTTCCTGCTACCTTGATTAATCAAGACACAACATTACAAAGTTCAAAGTTAAGTCAACACAACTATAATAACATTTTATCTGTCTGTCTGCAAATGGCTGGTTAGGCCCTGCCCAAAATGGAATGGTTTAAGACTATTCAAAACCATTACAACAGTCAGTTATTCACTCAGAATTAAACATCATCACATCTAGTTTTAGGACTAGTTAACTTCCTTCTTGGTATAAATTACTGAAGTTCTTCATCCTCAAATAGGATTGCCAGATACATGATACTGAGTTAAATTTGAATTTCAGATAAATAAGTATTTTAATAAGATAAATAAGTATTTATTTATTTTCAGATAAATAAGTATTAAGTACATCCCAGTATTTGGGACACACTTATATTAAAACTAAATGATTACTTATCTGAAATTCAAATTTAACTGGGCATCCAGTATTTTCATTTGCTAAATCTGGCAACACTATCCCCAAGTACTTTCTATTCTAAGTTCCTTACACATTTTATTTGTTCTGCCTAGCTTACTTAAGCCAAAGGTAACTTTATATTACTAAACATACCAACATTTATTTTAAAATGTTATCACATATTTGTCTTTAAATAAGCATACTTTTAAGACTTAAGTACCCTCACCAAATGGACATTCCCAGTTCCCTCTTATGAAAAGAATACAAATTAAATCTATATCTCAATGTTATACATATCGTATTTTTAATCTTGTTGGAAATCAATATCAAGTTTGAAGTATCTTCTCTCTCCAAATGCTAACATAATTATTCATTAACCAACAAATACGTCTTTTACTTCAGGCAAGAAAACATTCACAGTTTAGACCACACCTTGCAAGCCCTGCGGGTCTCTCCAACTCCACCCTGCTGGTCTGGCTCACAGAAGACTCTCCTCCCTCCTGTAAGCAGCGCACCTCGGCTGCCCTACATATTCTCTGCTACAGCTCTTCTCCTCACCATGTCATTAAGTCTCCATTAATTCAAACACTCTGTAAGGGTTTGGCATTCACTTATTTGTAACTTCACACAGGATCTAGGTCATTGCTTCACAGACTACATCTGTTACCTGATCGAAAATCTTAATAGAAAAGTCAAAAAGTTTAGAGCAGGGTACCGAAATAATTGAAATAACTCCACACTAGGAAAGACTACCAAACACACACAAAAAAGATGCTCAATAAATAACTCTTCAATCTCTTTATAAATAAATGCAGTTTTAGCTTTTATTTTTGACTCACTATCTCACCCACAGACATGCCAAGCAGGCATTCTGATGCCTCTGTGAGCCAGGCATACATGAAAATGCCAAAGGCAATCCTTTGCCTGTGTGGTCTCCATTAAGAAATTTAGATCCTTTCTCTAGGAAGAGTAAGTATATCCAAAAGGCAAAATAAATGAGAGGCTAAAGAAAGGGAAACTATTAGGATTTGACGCATACTTATAAAACAAGAGACTGTGGCTACTACATTGGTGCAAAAGTAATTGCAAGTTTTGCCATTACTCTCAATATCAAAGTGAATTTTGCATCAACCTATAGTAAACCAATTTGGCAGCGGACTGAGCAAAAGGGTCATTTACTCAGAAAGCTGATCTGTCTTGGGCCTAAGATAGAAAGATGCCTCTCTGGGAGTGAGAGGCCAATGAACCAGGTATGTGAGCAGCAGAGAGGAAGAAAGAGCCACGCAACAACTACCTGGAATAGGAACAAATGTTTTTTCTAACCACTGCCATTTACTTTATTTCTTTTAAAATTTATTATGAAATACTTAAGAAATACAAAAAGGTCTAATGAATAATATAATAAGCTCACTCTACCCAGCCTATGAAATAAAACATCACTAAAGTAGCTGGGTTGAAGCTCCTGTATCCTTTTCCCTGACTGACTGCATCCTTACTCCATACCGTCAGATGTCACCACTATTCTAATCTTCGTGATCATACATTTCTTTATACCTTTACATAAGTATACACAGATAACATACAGTATCATTTTGCATATATTAAAATTGTACATAAAAACAATTGTATAGAATTATTCCTCTATGTGCTTTTTCATTAATATGAACTAATCATGTTAATAGGTGAGGATTATTCATTTTTCAATACTTTACAAAATTCTACTATTAAGTACAATTATGTACACATTCTCCTACTGATAGATAGTTGGGCCATTTTCAATTTCCTGAAATTATAAACTAGGGATCTCCAAACTACAACCTATCAGCAAACCAGCTGACTGTTTTTTAAAGTGAAATTTTATTGGAACATGGCCAGGTCCATTCATTTTTGTAATATATATGGCTGCTTTAGCACTACAATGGCAGAATGAGTAGTTGTAACAGATATCATATGGATAGCTAAAGGAGTCTAAAATATTTACTATCTAGCCCTTTAAAGAAAAGATTATCAACCCCCCTTATAAGCAATGCTGTTATGAATGTCCCAGTATCCATGTGGGAGACATTCTCTAGGGAATGTAATTAGAAGATTTGCTGGGTTGTAGGTTAGTCAAATCTTCATTGTTAATAGATTCTGCCAAAAGTTTTTCCAAGAGGGTTGTATACTCTCACTAGCTTATACATGTTTATGGAACACTTGTGCTTCTACTAATGTTTGTATCTTTTGCCCATTTTTAAATGGATATCTTTTTCTTACTGATTTGTCAAAGCTCATATAATTGACTAATACCTTGTCAATTATATGTTAGATAAAACTTTCCCAATCCATAGCTCCCTGTTTGCTTTTTATGCTTCATGCCTCAGCTGCATCTGAAAAATGAGCACTGTGACAATAAACAAACTGCAAAGGGTTGTAAAGATTACATGACCTAATATATTTAAAGTAATTAGAAGAGTACCCGGCACACAATAAGTGCTCCACAAATATTAGCTGTTTATTTTTTATAGTGTTTTTAGATGAAAATGAACCAATCGTCCCTTTATTATTTGTGCTATCTTGTTTAAGAAATCCTGTCCTATATATTCAATTTTAAGTATCCATAAAGTAATATAAATCTAAACCTCATCTTATTTATTCACTATCTCTGAATGCTAAGAATAGCACTTTCTGTTAATCTGGTATCAATTAACTATTTAATTTGAACAGATTTTCTTAAAATCTCAGCACTATCTTAATACTGATTTCTCTAACATCTGAGTAGAGAGAGAACTCCATCTAGAATATTCCAACACAATTTTTTTCCCATTAAAAAGTAAATAAGCCAGGTGCAGTAGGCTCATGCTTGTAGTCCCAGGTACTCAGGAGACTGAAGCGGGAGGATTCCTTGAGTAGTTTGAGACCAGCCTATTGATATAGCAAGACCTTCTGTCTCAAAAAATAAATAAATAAAAGTAGATAAAAGGGAGATCTGCTTATGTCCAAGATAGATAGAGTAACAGAAACTAAATCTACATTCCCACCTAAAGCAAAGAATAAATAAACAAAATTCTATGAAACAATAGTTTTTAAGACACTGATCAGGCAACAAAGAACAATGATCTCCAAAAATTGGGAAACAAATCAGGTGAGCCTTACTACTGCCCTAGCTTACTGCCTTAAGAGACTTTTTGGACTGCAGTGCAGAGGGGAAGAAACCCAGGCAGAGAACAGTAGACTCTCTGAGTTGAGGTGACGGAGCTGAGATTACTGAGACCAAAACAGCTAGTAATCTGGACAGAGTACCACAGAAAAAATAGCTGCAAAGAGAGAAAACCCTAGAGATCTTCACAGGGTCCTCTTTGGGTATTTAGCTTAATAATGATCAGTGCATGTGTGAGGAGTCAATCAGTGCATGGTCTGGGGAAAGAATCACCCAAAAGGATTACAGGGAAGAGTATACCTACCTCCCACACAGCATTGGAAACAGTTCCTGTTCCCACCAGCCAAACTAGAAAATTTCAGAATTCACAAAATTAGAAGAGACAGAAGGGTCTAGTCTTAATAGTAGCAAATAATGACTCCTAAACAAGGCACTGCCCCAGTCTTAACTAGCAAGTGTTAAAAGCCAAACTACAAAGAATCAAACAGTTTCCAAGTAATTCAACTGCATCCCATAACACATATCAAGAATATTTCTAAGAATAAAAAGTAGCCAGCGTATGAGATAAGACTCACAATGTGAAACATCAAGTAAAAACTATCAGGCATACAAAGCAACAAAACAAATATGACCCACAGTAAGGAGATAAGTCAGTCAATTGAAACTGAGCACCAACAAAGATGTTAAAATTAGCAAAGACACTTAAAAGTTTTTAAAACTGTCAAAAAGTTAAGGAGACACATGGAAAACATAAAAATGACCCAAATCAAACTTCTTGGGATGAAAATGACAATGTACCACTAGCAATAGGATAAAGCAGGGGGTGAGTTGAGAGAGGCATGACAAAACTTTATCTCTAGGCTGTCAATAGTTGGCCAGAAGAAAAAATGATGCAATATAAAAAAATACACTAGATGGGGTTAATAGAAGATTTAACAAAATAAATAAATAAATAAATGGCCGAGCACAGTGGCTCACAACTATAATCCCAGCACTTCAGGAGGCCAAGGCGGACGGATCGCTGGAGCCCAGGAGTTCAAGAATTGCCTGGGCAACATGGCAAAACCCTCTCTCTTCTAAAAATACAAAAAAATTAGCTGGGAGTGGTGGCACATGACTGTAGTCAGGAGACTGAGGTGGGAGGATCACCTAAGCCTGGAAGTCAAGGCTGCAGTGAGCTGTGATCATACCACTGTACCTGGGTGATGGAAGTGAAACCCTGTCTCAGAAAAAATAAAAATAGTAATAAAAATAATGAAATTGAAGATGTAGCAATAGAAAAATGAAACACAAGGCAAAATGATCAGGGAAAAAAATTAAGCCATCTACAATTATAAGCAATTAAAAGCAGAAAAAATATACATATCTTTGGGATTCCTGGGAAGGGTGGTAGGACAATAGAAAAAATAAGAAACAGTGACCAAAATTTGTCCAAATGTGATTAAAATAACAGGCCTTCAGACATATGAAGTTGAATAAACCAAGGCACAAGAAACATGAAGAAAACTACATCAATGAATGTCTTAACCCAAAATCAGTGATAAATAAAAATATCTTAAATGTATTATACAACAATATGAACAGATATAGAGGCCAGGCACAGTGGCACATGGCACATGTGCATAATCTCAGCACTCTGGGAGGTAGAGGTGGGCGGATTGCTTCAGGCCAGGAGTTCGAGACCAGCCTGGGAAACACAGCGAAACCCTGTCTGTACAAAAAAACAAAAAAGAAAAATTAGCCAGGCATAGTGGCATGCACCTGTAGTCCCAGCTACTCAGGAGGGTGAGGTGGGAGGATCGCTTGAGCCCAAGAGACAGAGGTTCCAGTGAGCTGAGATCACGGCACTGCACTCCAGCCTGGGCGACAGAGAAAGACTGTCTCAAAAAAAAAAAAAAAAAAAAAAGATAGAGATCAAGAGAACAAAATTGAAATTTCAGAAATAAATTCTAACAATTAACAGTCCACTGATCTTTAAGAAAGGGATCAAGACAATTAAATGAGGAAAGAATAGTCTTTTCAACAAACGGTGTTGAGACAACTGAGTATCTACATCCAGAAGCATAAATTTGGACTCGCACCTCAAAATATGCACAAAATGGATCACAGAACTCAATATAGGGGATAAAACAATAAAACTCTTGAAGCAAACAGAAGAGTAGATCCTCATGACCTTGGGTTAGACAAGCATTTCTTAGCATGATATCAAAAGCAGAAGTCAAAAAAGAGAAGAAGACTGATACACTGGACTTCATCAAAATTAAAACCTTTTCAAAGGTCGCCCTCAAGAAAGTGAAAAGATAAGCCATAGACTGGGAGATAATATCTGAAAATCATATGAGGAGGCTTGTGTCTACAGATAAAAAGAACTCTTACGACTCAAAGATAAAAAGAAAAATAACTTAATTTTTTAAATGGGCAGCAGACCTCCTTACAAAAATGTTTTATCCTTCCAGCAGGAGGAAAATGATACCAGATAAAAATACGGATCTACACAACAAAAAGAAGAACACCAGAAATGTTAACTACATCATTAAATGTTATTTTTTTCTTATTTAAATATCTTTAAAAGATAATCATTCACTGTGAAAAACAATACGACATTTTCTCAAAAAAGTAATTTTTATTACGGACTGAATATTTGTGCCCCCTCCTTCTTATGCATATGTTG